AGAATTTCTTAGGAAACGTGCATGGAAGGTTTTTAAGTCTCCTACAGTCAAGCCCACACTTTCTGTGATCACTTCTCTCCCTAACCTCAGGTAACAGGTACCTTATCCACTCCTGTGGACACAAGCCATTGCATTTAAGTTTTCAGAGCCAGTATACCAAGTGATCAGAAATTTGCAATTAAGAAAGTGCATCTGGCAGGAATGTTGGATGTGTTGGGTAGCACAGCGGTGAGATGGCAGAGTGGCAAGGGGATGCAGGTATAAAGGTGTTCTAGACGGAAGCCTTTTTCCCCAAGTTCAAAAATTGGTCCCTCTCTTCTTAGGTGCCCAGTCCAGTCATTTCACCTATATCCTCCTGTGTGTGTGTGTGTGTGTGTGGGTGGGTGTGGGTGGGTGTGTAATAAAATTGCAAAAGGTGTCAGACTTGGTCAAAATATTGGTTATATCAGATACAGGAATGCTTATGGACAAGAACATTACAAATCATTTACCTAAAAACAGGGAACAGCCAGCCACTAAAAGAGCTGAAGAAAATGGCTTAGTTCTTTCTTGTAAAAAGCTGAAAAGCCTGCTCTCTTCCCTCTGATGAGTCCCGATAGACACAACCTGCCAGGCCCCCACTTGATTCTGCAAGAGCATTCCCATATTCCTCGACAAAGTCTGGATTTCAAGTATATTCAACAAAGTATCTCTTCTCTTGTTGGATGTCCCAGGCCCCAGCTGTCCACTTCCTCTTTCTCAGGTGTGAATTAGGCACCATTTCTGTGTATCTCTACAGCAAACATTCCACAACTCCCAGTAACTCTTCAAAAGTCTCCCTCACAAGGCTGAAAGTCAGGGTGGTTGTGGTCCTTCCATCTTTGAAGCTAAGCAAAAGTTCCTTCCAAAGAAGCTTCCTTACAAGTCTCCTCCCTTCCCCACTGACCTCTTCTGATGCCCTGATTGAGTCCCTAATTGGGGGACCCAGAACCTTGGAAACAGAACTTGAACACTTCTCCTATAGTTTCGGTTTTTTTGGTTTTTTGCTTTTTGGGGTTTTTGTTGTTGTTGTTGTTGTTTTTCTGGTACCGGGAATCGAACTCACAACCTTGTGCTTGCCAGGCAGGCACAGTGCTGCTGAGCTAAATTCCCAGCCCCAGTTTCTGTCTATGGCCATCTTCCTCCTATTCACTTGGGCATCTGTATCTGTGGTATTCACACCTCAGTTAAAACTGAGATAGAAAAAGTGTGATTCTAACCAACTGTCACATAGATGACACTTGTAAAGCTAGACAAAATTTGATTTTTATAAAATCATACTTCCTGCATCCCCCCAAAAAGTCTCAGCCATTTTTTAAAACTAAGTTTAATGTTATGAAAGATTCTTGCTTCTTCATCTCAGACCTATCAATATGCTGACAGTCACTATAATTTTCCCCGACGCAATTTTTTAGCCAACGATCACTTTTCTTTTCTCTTTCTTTCCTTTTCTTTTTTTTTTTTTTGAAGCAGGGTCTCACTTTGTAATTCAGGCTGGCCTTGAACTCACTATGTAGCCCAGGCTGGTCTTGAACTCATGGAGAACCTCCTGCCTCAGCTTCTCGAGTGCTGGGATCACAGGCACGTGCCACCACACTTAGCAAAGATTACTTTTCTTTGTGTAAGTGATACAGCCATTTCCAAATCATTCCTGAAATTCCTATAGTTAAGTACAGTGTCTTGTTTTGCATTTGTGTTTTTCTGTTGTTTTGCATTTTTTACTCCAACCAAATTAACCTACAGGGAGGAAAAACTCATGGGGAACTTAGTTCTGAGGAAAAAAGACCATTTTCATGCAACCTTTCTGAACCACCTGCAGTGCCAAAACTACTTGTGTAGATTAATTTACCTGTAGAATGTTTAATATATATTGCAGCATGTTCACGAAACTCTTAGAGATGTTCTAATTATGGAGGGAACTATTTATTTCTGAATATTTCTTTCTTGGCAGTTTTGTAAAAGAGAATCTATATTACTTTGACAACCAGAATATATTATCTATATATGCATATGTTTACATGCAACACACACATGTAAAGGATGAGTGGAACTGAGGGTTCAAATGGTCTTTCCAGTGCTATCCAATAAGAATTATGACGCTGAACACATATGTAATTTTTAAGTTATCTAGTAGCCACATTAAAAGTGAAAAACAGAGATACTTAGCTCAATAACAAATTTTATTTTACTCACTGTGTCCAAAAATTATCACTATAACATGATGTAAACATGAGATTCTTAATGAAATATGTTGTATTCTTTTTTCTTACTAAATCTTTAAAATTTGGTGTGTATATTACACTTGTGGAGCATCTTGTTTCAGACTAGCAACATTTCAAATTCTCATGAGCTTCATTGATAATCTTCTTGTAATAGAGGAATACTAAAGATATTCTCATTAAGCCTTGATAAAACGTGAATTTGTTCTTATGTACCTCATGAAAATTCGGGAAAATACAAATTTTTTTTTTTTGGTATCGGGAATTGAACTCACAACCTCACACTTGCCAGGCAGGTACTGTGCTGCTGAGCTGTATCCCTGGCCCAATACAAAACTTTTGCAGAAAAAAATGAACTCAGTTATTCAAATAGAGCATTCTTGTATTCATCACCCTACAGAAATTATATTTATAAACAGACCTTACCATTCCCTTTAATGATTTGTTAAGTCCCAAAGCAGTGTCTAGATAAGCAATAACCTGCATCTCAAAAGCCTGAGTAAATCCCTACGGAGAGGAGATTCATTCACATCATCATCGGAAGCATTGAGACGACTGCTCTCCAATATTTATTGGTACTTATCTCTTGAAGCAACACCTTCAAATCAATAGTGCTCTTCTATTTTTAATGTTCTTCTGCCATTAATCCGTTCTTATGTCCATTTTTCTTGCTCAGCTGAGATTTGCTCAGAGAACTGAGTGTTCCTTTTGGGGTTTTGTTCCCTGTAGGAGCAGGCTGTGTTTCATTCAGAGTGTAAATCATGTCTGGATTCAAAGGTTGGCAGTACACCTCATTTTTAGACAAACATGAGATTAATTTTTAGGATTGCTGCATGAAAAAGAAAACTGGAGCCATATGTATTTTCTTATCATGGTAAACATTAAATCTGTCACCTTAATGATTGCTAAGTGTGCAATTCAGTAGTGTTAAGGATAGTCACACCATTGTGCAACCCTACGTGTCTTTGTGTGTTTTTCGTATGTGTTAGAGAAACAAGTAACTTCTCATTTCATGTAGTCAGATCCATTTGTTATCAAGCCTCAGAAATTGTTGGTTTGACAGTTTAGGGTTAGGTCATTGGCCCGTAAAGAACCTATGTCCAATAGAGGCAGACAAGCGGTCTTCTTCTCATTATGGGGTTATAGGGTGTGTTGTTATGTTTTTTACATTACTTCTCAGGTTTCATAGCACTCTGTATAAGGGTCAGCATGGTCACCTAGGCCCCTTCTGTTTCTCATGTGACACTGGCAGCTTGCACCCTCTTATAGATATAAGGCCCATTTGATAGTGACAAAGCTAGATAATATATATCTAATTTCAAAAGCTCAGATCATTCAGTGAAACCAAATGTTGATACTATCTGTTCCAAGGGAGCCAATAAATGTTTCCTAGGCACTGCTGGGCAGAAATTTCACCTTATTAGATACCTATGTTAAACAATGTTGGATTGGGACTCTTTTAAAAAGTGAAATTTGCTTCTAGAAAACTCACTGGCCAGCAAAGTAATGTTCTTATTTTTGACATGCTAGTGATCAAATAACACATATTAAAACTGTATGAATTTTAGACCGCAGCTGTTGACCTCAATTTTACAACCCCAAGAAATTGTTTCTTTGCTTTCTAGAGATACCTTATTTTTCATCAACTTCTTATTTTGAAACAGTTTAAACCTAACAGGGAAGTTACTAGACTAGTATGACAAACTCCTGAATGCTCTGTATTTAGACCTATTAAATTATTAACATTTTGCTGCATTTGCTTTCCCTCTATCCTTAGAGATACACATTTTTTAATGGAGATGAAATTTACATAATATAAAATTAACTATTTTTCGGTGGTATTTAGTACACTCACAATATTGTGTAACCACCACCTTGAACTAGTTCCAAAACACTTTAATTAACACGAAATAAAACCCTGTATCTTAAGCAATCAAGCCCTATTTACACTCCTCCTACCCCCAACAACCACCAAACTGCTTTCAGCATCCATGGATTTACTTAACACTTCTGGGCGTTTCATATAAATATCATAATACAGTATGTGTCCTTTTGGGTCTGGCTTCTTAAATTATTCTCGAGGTTCATCTATGATGTAAGCGTGTACTGTGCTTTTACCAGAGACACGTTTAATTGCAGTTGTAAACTGAGTATGATGAACACTCCTTCGTTTACATTCCTCTGCTTCCACTTTACCGCCCCCCCAAAAGAGCTAGAGAAGATTTCGTGATCTTTTAAATTCCATTGTTCCTTTGAAATGAAGCACGTCTTTGGGAAAAGTGTGGGCGTTTTCTTGTAGAGTATTATATCTGGTGACATCCAGTCGTCTTATTTAATAGTTTTAAATGGCCATAAAGAAATAATACCCAAAAATAACCACACTGACTAGCTCTATTACCTGGATATATCACTTATAGTCTCTTGTCTTCAGTTTCTCCATTACAGAATGACCAGACTGGATTTGGACTCAAGCCTTAAGAACCACTGCAATGAAAATTGTATGATTCAACTCTCCAGCAGTCCATTTTAAGCTTTTCTGAAATCTATTATTCCAAAGAACTACTTTCCCTCTGTGGTTTATTAGAGCAAAATTGATATTGATGAAACACTAGGTGTGTGACCCTGGAGGTCACAAACTAGCTCAGATGAGTTTACAATTCAATTGGTGCTAAACGAGATAAACATGGGACAACAGTGATAGTCATAACCAGAAGAAAAATCTTGTAAGATGAGATAAAATATTCAACGTTGAATCATACATACCCTGTAGGCAAACTGGTAAAAATGCCAACGAGAAATAGCAGGCTGCCCCTACTCTTCACGAGTCACTGCCTTCTTTGATTTGATCAGTTGTCTGCAGGTCAAATGGCTACAGAATGATTCTGGAAAGCAAGTAGCATTTTAAGATTAAAGGATATCTATCTAGTACACAAGACAGAACATTCTCTCTTAAATTTATTTATAGTATTGTATTTGTGCCAACATTTTATTACAAATTTTGTGAAGCACAGCAAAATGGAAAGCATTTTGCAGCGAACATCCATACTTAACTCCTAGATTCTACCATCAACATTTTATTATACTTGCTTTGTACATATTTATCTATGCTTCTATTCATCCACTGAGCTACAACTCAGCTATGGATTTTTAAAATAATTTCAAATTACAGGCACCACAGTCCATACCATTAACTAGAATTTGATATGTCCTTACTGATTTTTCCTTTGTAAAAATCTACATACAATTAGACACACAAATCTTAAAGTGTATATTCATTCAGTTTTGATAAGTGCATACACATGGGTAATCCAAACTCCTACAAAGGTAATGAACATTCCATTTATTTTTAACTGAGTTTTTATAGAAATAAATTACATTAAAAATAAAATAGCATGGCTAGTCTGAAAGTGAAGGACTGCAGTCACCCACCCGTCCCTCCCAACCCCATTTTCTGTTTCCCCAAAGGCAATTACTATCAAATTTTACGTGCTTCTTTTGGCAACTTTAAAATCTATTTCTGCACATAACATTATTACTGCTATTCCTTACATTTCCTATTTTAAAATTATCTGTTGCTTAACTACTATGGGAAAATAGCAATGCACTATCTCAAACAATTCCATGAGCATATGCTACTCCTTCCCCCACTTTCAAAATATTTATAACATAGTTTTTTGTTAAATCAATCAAGATTCAGTGTTTATTATACTATACAAATTTTAGTCACAGTAGACAGTACATATTGATTCTATTTCCTATGTAGTTTGTTTTTTCTCAGTTACTAATCACCTATTTTTTATTTGCTTTTTAAGCATATCACCTAAAAATTCATTTCCAAAGCTTCTAAGAAAACTTTAAAATCATGTTCAATGTGATTTAAACCATTAGATAATGCAGAATTTCTATTTTCCTTTGGGGACATCACTCCAATCTGTGTTTTCATGCCTGAACCTGTAGCAGGTCTGTCCACAGGGCTCCCCCTTCAACTGTCTTCTGTGTTGAATTCTCTACTTCTGTGCCCCACATCTTCCTCATAGTTCCTTCCTTTAGCCGGAATACATCCTGCAGTAGTTTCTTGAGCTGGTAAACTTTGGTAAACTCTGTAAAATCTTGCCTATCTAGAAGTACCCTTATCTTACCATTATATTCTATTAATCATTTGTCTGGCTATGGCATTCTAGACTGAACACAACTTCTGCTCAGAAATTTCAAAGCAATATCCTCCCGAGGTCAGCTTTCGGTAATACTATATCAGATCATTCTGTTTCCCAATAGTCTGTCTATTTATCTATCTCTCTATCTACCTATCTATCTTATCTATCATCTATCTATTTATCTATATGGAACACTCTGTATATCTTAGTGTTCTAAAATTTTATTTTAGGCTTTGGCATATCCATCAAATCTAGAAACTCATATCCTTTATTCCTGGGCAAGGGTCTTATTTTCTGTCTTTGATATTTACTCTAAAAGACTATTTTCTCTTTCTTTCTTCCTATAATTCTTAATAGTTAAGTATTTGGCTTCTTATCTGAGTCCTCAATTTTATCTTTTTTGCCCTATGAATGGGTTTTTATTAAATATTCAATAGAGTGAAAATTATCTTTATAAAATATGGCTAAGTTAAAAGAATAACAATGCAAACACCAGCATCAATTTTAATAAGCACATCACTAAGGACTTTCAAGCCTCCAAGTGACCTTCCCAGACCCAGTTGCCTTCCTTCCCATTTTAAAGGTAATTACAATCCTGAATTTTGTGTTTACAGTTCACTTTTCCTCATAGTTTTATCACATACTTCTGTATCTCTACTATAGTAAGATTTTTATGATTTTCAATTTTATGTGAATAGAATCACACTCTGTGATTTCTAAGACTTGCTTTTTTCCTTCATTTTACAACAAATGCCTGAGATTTGCCTACACTGTCGTATGAAGCAACAGTTCAGTAATTTTCACTGCATAAGCTATAATTTACTTATGGTTGGGCATTTGGGTTTTTCCAATTTTTATTACTAAAAATATTGCTTCTATAAGTATTCGCCAGCACATCTCCTAGTTCTAACATCTATGCCTAGAAAAGGGGTTGTTAAATGAAGAAGTGACTGCATTTTGACTTTACTAGATAACTCCACATTTTTTCTCAAAGTAGTTCTAGCAACTTATGCTCCCACTGCTAGTGTAGAAGAGTTAAGATTGCTTCATATTCTTGCCAGCACTTAATTTCATCATCATTTGATTGCTACTAACCAGGGTATGTGAAGTAATATTGTATTATGGCTTTAGTTTACATTTCTCTGATTATGAATGAAGTCAAGCTATATTTTCTTGAAATTCATAAAATTTATTTTTTCTTTTGTTTTAAGTCTTATGCTTACTTTTTTTAAAAAAATAGGCTTTTTGCCTTTTTAAAATCAACATCCAAGAGTTCTTCATATACTTTGAAGACTAATAGTTCTCCATTAATTATGTTACATGTATCTTCTCTCAGTTTGAGGTTTGTCTTTTTGTGTTATTTTAAGGTATATTACATTGAACACTAATTTTAGCGTACTGTAGTTTTGGTCATATTTAAGAAATCCTACCCTATTCTGAAGTCACACAGATAGTGAGATACTGTCTATATTCTCTCTGAAAGTTTTTAGGCACTGCCTCTTGTATTTAAGTGTTCATCCAAAATTTATTTCAATCTTTTCTCATATAAAAAACTATCTGGACCTCTGTGTATTTTCTTTGTATTAGGTTTTCTCTTTTTTAAAATCAGATTTAGTAAATTATATATTTCTAGGTTTTTATCACTTTTACCTACATTTCAGAATTTATCACCTTAAAATAATTTTGTTGTCTTTTTAAACTCCACAGCACATTACTGATATGGTTCATTCTTGTTATTTTTCTTCTGTACCATTAATCTTGTTTTATATTTGTCCATATAATTAATCTTGTTTTATGTTTGTCCGTATAATTAATTTTGTCCTATGTTTGCCCATTTTGGATGTTTTTTTCAAAGAACTAAATTTTGGCTTGTTCAAAACTTCCTAGCTTATGTGTTTTGTTTCATTGTTTCTGCTATGATATTTATTCTTTCTTCCTTTTAGTTTCTTTGGATTTATTCTGTACTTTTCTCACTATTTAAGTTGGACACTTAACTCTTTATTTTACAAAGGCATTCTACTAAGTAATCAAGGAACTAATAAATCTAACTACACACAAGCTATTCTAGACTATGAACTTAGAAACATTTACCAACCCCAGTATGCTAACTATACTAAAATTTGATGGAAAGAATGGGACAGAGGAAAATTAAAGCCTAGTTCTCTATAAAAACATGGAGGTACAAAACTTCTGAACAAAATTTAACAGTAACTAAAACTGACAAAATGACCAAGATAAGCTTTACTTGGGGATTTAATTTCTCAGAAAGTCAATTAATATAATTTTCCATAGCACCCAAAGAAATGAGAAAAAAGAGCGTGTGGTAAATTTTATTGATGCAGAAAAATAATTGTTAAGATCATCATCCACTACTTATACAAATTCTTAGCAAGCTAAGAAAGAAGGAAATTTTCTTTACCTCATTTAGAGTATCTACAAAAACTACAAAGCAAACATCATAATTAATAGTGAAACATTAAAATTGTTCCTCATTAAAATCAGGCACAAAAACAAGGGCTGCTGTAACCACTTCCTATCAGTACTGTACTGGTTATCCTAACAAATGCTGCAAGAAAAGAGAAACAGAGGGTATAACGATTTAAAGGAAAGAAAGAAAAATTAATTGTTCACAGATGATGTTATGATATGCACAAAAAATTCAAAAAAACCTGGACAGAGAATTTGACAGATTCGCTGTTTTAAAAAAAATCAAACTACAAAAAGCAATTGCATTTATATAAAATAGCAATAGCAATCAACAGAAAATGTAAAATAAAACAGGGATCTTAAAAGTATAACATACCATAAAATAAACATTCCAAAAGATATATCAATTTTCTATGAGAAAGTAAAATATTTGGCAGTGAATAAGCATGGGAAAGCTAAATAATTAAGGAGGAATAGGATGTTTATGGAGAAGTAAGTTTTATACTGTAAACGTATTGCTATTTATTTGATGTAATTCCAATGAAAATTCCAAAGGTATTTTGTGTGATTTGAAAAGCTGACTAAAGTATTTGTTGATAATAGGAGAAGCAAGAATAACTGAGACATTTCTAATAAAGGAGAACTAAGAGCAAGGATTCATTTTACTATTACTAGGAACTATTTGAAGGCTATAGTAATTGAAACGGTATGTTATATGCTAATGGAAGAACAGAGAATATATAAGACATATTTCTGTAGAGGAAGAACCATTCCAAGGACCTTCTCCTGCTCACAATATTGTCACATGAGCAAGAATTACATTTCCATTGTATTTCAGCAATTTAATATTTTTGCATCTATTTTTTGGTGCAATTTGCCTGCTGTAAAGCAACTTCTATTGCTTTAGTGATTGTCCTATGAAATTCAATATGCAAAAAATAGCATCAATATATAAATTAAGATATTTACTTATATGTTGAAAAATACAAAAACATCAGAGTTCTTTTACTTTAATCATCAGCCTCCTGATTGATACCATGTTTCTGTTTTTTAAAACTTTATATTATTGTTCTTGTAGACAGTGTTTTAGATTACCTACATATTTACTGCTTTGTTCAGTTTCTTTTATATGAAAATCTTTTATTTTAACAGATTGAAATATAAAAAAGAAACGTAAGCAATAAAAATATTCAATCATGAGTGCTTCTAAGCTTACCTCACCCTCAGCTAAACTGGGAGACAACTCAGATATTGTTGATCTACACAAAATACCAATAACTAGTACATTTTTACACCTTTCT